CCACACCCCCCCCAAAAAAAAGAAATGGAAAAAAGTGGGAAAGAGAATTAAACATTATAAGTATAAATAAAATAATAAAATAATAAATATAATACATAAAATTTATAGACTCGATAACAAAGGTTGAGGGAAATGATACTGATGTGAGCACCAACTAACCTCCTACACCATGCTCACAGACTTGAACTACACTCTATGAACCTGGACGTAATTGCGGTCAAATACATTGGTGATTTTTATTTTCAACACCTTGATTCCGGAGCACTGAACGTAACTGAATCTGCGGTGATATCATCCTTTCGAGATAAAAAAATGAAAAATAAATAAAAAACATATCAACCTGTTACCATCCAAACGACATGGCAAAGTTAAAAAAAAAAAAAAAAAAGCCAGTCAAAAATATGTGACGTGAATAAATAAATAAATATATTAATATATATATATATCGTCACACATATCGTCAAACAGAATATATATAGCTGTCCAAAAAAAAAACGAATGTAATGCACAGTGGAAGAGCAGGTGCTGCAATAGCGTATTCTTTCCACGATGTATCTGACCGCAATTACAGCAATTCCTGGATGTATCTAACGGCAGTTACGTCCACATTCCAGTCCAGAAAGTTCTAGTCGTGAGTAGTGAGTATGCCTCAAGTAATAAGATGTAACACATTGAAAGATGCCCCATTGTTCTTACCCAAAAAAAAAAAAAAAAAAAAAAAAAAATCATCACAGGGTATGCTCAAGGTATACGCACACTAAGACTTTTATGGATGTATCTGACCCGAGCTAGAGCTTGACCTGGATGTATCTAACGGCAATAACGTCCAAAGTCATAGTCCAACGAGTCTGAGTGTGCTCTGTGTCGAGCTTGCACCAGCCTTCCCCTTTCTTCACTCTCTCAGGGCATTACTCACTCACACAAGGACTTTTTTTGACTCCCCTCTGGCCGTAGTTGGCCTCAGATGCATCCAGCACCAGAGTCGCAATTGCGGTCAGGTACATCCTGGAAAGTCCTGTGCGTATGTTGTTCTCAGGTGCTCTCCCAACAAATCTGACTTCCTCTTCTCTATGTGTCACTGTGCTCCGTCCTTCTTCCTCCGCCCCTTTTTTTCTCTCTCTGAACTCTGTCTCTTATACACATCTAGATGTGTATAAGAGACAGGTGTGTGTGTGTGTGTGTGTGTGTGTGTGTGTGTGTGTGTTAACAAGCATGTAAATTGATTGATGTAATCATTGGCCTTTCGCTCCATATCACTGGGCAAAATTGTGAACAAGACAGAGGGCCTCGCCACACCACTGTGGAAACGGAAAACGAACAAATGCATCTTCCAGCAGAGAAGGGCAAGATGCATCCGTTACTATGAATAGCAAAGGATGCATCTTACCAGTTTCCGGACCAGATGCATTCGACGTGCTCTTTTCCTTTCGGCAGTGGTGTGGCGAGGCCCAGACGAAAGAAAGGAGAGTGTATCTTTCCCCCTTTTAGCTGAAGAAGAAGATACGCGCGCCATTTTAACAGACAAAACCTTATTTGCTTGTTGTCAATCAATCGCACAGATGCCCTTCTTCTTCTTCTGGGTCGAGGCCCCGCTACCCAGATCGTCGATTCGACGGTCGACGGCCACCGACGGCCAGATACGAAGCATCTGTGTGGCCAGTGGGTCCCTCGGGCCTCGGGACAAAAGAGCGGGCAAAAGAGGTTGGGGGGGGGGGATAGGTGGCTTTTTTTTTCTTCTTTCTTTCCCGAACACATCAAATTCATTCAAGTTCCCCTCCCTCCACACCCCC